TCTTCTTCTTCTTCTTCTTCTTCTTCTTCTTCTTCTTCTTCTTCTTCTTCTTCATCAGTTTCTTCTTCTTCTTCTTTCTCTCCGGCGCCCATGTCCACCTCCACATTACCATTTTCTCTGTCGCATCATCTCTTTATTATGACAATGAATTAAAATGAGAAGCTAACTCATATCCAGTTGAAGAATTTCGTCCACACTGAATGCAAAACAGCGATTTCCTCCCTTCAAAAATAATGAGAAATGATAATTTATGATGTTCGCTTTGATAAAAAGTCGGAAACAAAATGTTTTAATGAACATGATCTGCTCGTTTAGTCAATGGCACTTGATATAATAGTTACTTATTATACTTTACTTGTGATATTGAAGCCACAAATCGTCGTAATCCTTATTTCTTATACTTTTCTTTAGAGCCTATTTATATTCCCCTCTGCTGACGCATAGATCAACTTTACACATTTAGGGATCCGGACGAACTTTAATTACCATTAGGCCTGCCTTTAATAATTTAAAAAGTAAAGATATGGTTTCTAACCACTTCGTATCTCTGCACAGCTAAATACTAACAGACACGGAAAATATACGAGGAACAGTCGAGTAACTGCCATAATCATAATATCAGTTTCTTGTGATAAGCAATTCAGTAATTGTATCAAGATTAGCTATACAACCCTTATAGAATACGTACCAAAATATTTGTGGCTCTTAAGGTCAAACTGTACATTGAAATAATCAAGGCCCTTACTACAAAACCTCCTTAGATATAACCTACAAAAGAGATAACAGCGCTCTTGAGCAATCTATATCTCTGACCTCATAAATTCGGAGCGTCTGAATTTACAAGCAGAGTTAATGACCTCTAACCTTTTACATTCCTGGGCGTAAGCGTCAGCTTTTCAGTGAGTGTCGGTAGGTCATTTTGCGGACCGTCTTTTATTCAAGGCGGTGGGTTTTTTAAAATGGTAATACGGCGCTCGCAACTGCATAAGGTCATATGAGCGCGCGGGACACCTTAAACATTTTCAGTTCGTGAGAAATTTTCAATTTTGACCTGATTGCGGCCGAAGCCTACTCTTATCGATTTTTGACCACCAAGTGATCTTTAACGTGCGCAACTTGCACACGGGACCTCCGAGATTTTTCGCCCTTGTCCGAGAAGGCTAGGAGTAGATCTTTCCTACCAGACGATTAGGGGTGTGGCTGAAAGACAGCAGTAAGAAGGAGTGCAAGGGGTAGCAGTAGAAAGGCTGCCGAAAGAGTCAGGAGCCC